TGGAAACCCTTTGTTGCTAATCGTGTACGTGAAATACAAGATGTTGTATCACCTTCGCAATGGAAATACTGTAAGGGAAATGACAATCCGGCTGACATAGTTTCACGTGGATTAAGAGCTTCTGATCTAGTGGAAAATAAACTTTGGTTCAATGGACCAGTGTGGTTAAAAGAGAAAAATGTACCTTCATCATCTTTTGATCCTTTGATTGAGCCTATGGTGGAAGAGGTACAGGTAGAACAGCGTCAAACTACTGTATGTTCTGTTATTAGCCAAGAGGCTGAATTTGAATTGACATCCAGATTTTCATCCTGGAAAAAAATTGAAACGCGTAACTGCATGGTGTTTAAGATTCTGCCACAATATTAAACCTACATCTTTAAAACTCAAGGGTTTTTTTTTAACAGTTCAAGAATTGGATAAGGCAAGCAATTTGATTTTTAAAAATCATGCAAAATTCCGAATTTAGAGAAGAAATTAGACTTTTGAAAGCAGGGAAGAAATTGAATCTCAGCAGTAAAATCCTGAAATTAAATCCTTTTCTTGATAGAGAAGAAATCCTTAGAGTCGGTGGTAGACTCTGTAACTCGAATCTTTCAGAAAACACAAAGTATCCAATCATTCTTCCCAAAAGTCACCAAGTTACTGAATTGATAGTCAAACACTTTCACGAAGTGAACCTTCACGGAGGAGCCACATTAACATTATCTGCTCTGCGACAGAAATATTGGATCGTTAATGGCCGAGAAATTGTAAGAAAAATAATTTGGAAATGTATAAAATGTTTTAAAAATCGAACAAGCACATCCAGTCAGATAATGGGCGACCTACCTGCTTCTCGCGTATTGCCGGATAGAACATTCTCGAATACAGGACTAGATTTTGCAGGCCCCTTTTTAATTAAAGCTAGGAAAGGAAGAGGAGGAACGAGATATAAATGTTACGTTTGCCTTTACATATGTTTCTTCACCACAAAGGCCATTCACCTAGAAGTGGTCAGTGATCTAACAACTGAAGCATTCCTAGCATCTCTGAAAAGATTTGTGTCACGCAGAGGAAAACCCAAGAAAATCTTTTCCGATAGAGGAACCAACTTTGTTGGGGCTGATCGAGAATTAAGAAGATACATAGCTACACTTTCCTCTGACGAAGCATTTCAAAACTACCTGAGCGGTGAAAATATTCAATGGATCTTCAATCCCTCCTGCTGCCCCTCACTTTGGAGGCCTTTGGGAGGCTGGAGTGAAACAAATGAAGATTCACTTAAAGCGGACTATTGGGACCCAGGTTCTGACATACGAAGAATTTCACACCTTAATTACACAGATCGAGGCGTGTTTGAATTCAAGGCCAATAGTTTCCATCTCATCTGACCCTGAAGATTTTAATCCTTTAACACCTGGACATTTCCTAATTGGGACTACATTAACAGCAATTCCTGAACCTGATCTTACAAATAATAAGCTAACCCCTGCTGAAAGATGGAAATTGACACAGCAAATTTTCCAGAGCTTTTGGAAACGTTGGTCTAGAGATTATCTTTCACAATTACAAGGGCGTACCAAATGGTTGAGGGATAAACCAAATTTAGCCCTCAATGACTTAGTCTTGATAAAGGACGAAAATTTGCCTCCATTAAAGTGGCGACTTGGACGAGTAATTGAACTATATCCTGGTGCTGATGGAAAAGTTCGTGTTGTGAAACTAAAAACTTTATTGGGCGAAATGAAGCGTCCTATACATAAACTTTCCCGCTTACCATTGAGTGAATAAGACTCTAAAAAAAAAAAAAAACCATTAATTGTATATTCATAATTTGTGTGTCTTTATTATTATTATTAATTCAATTATGTTTCAGATTCAGAGAATGGACCACAATTGTGGATTATGGTAATTTAGCAGTTTCATTATTTTGTTTTCCTTCTAGAGATTGTAAGTATGTTTTATTTTATTTGTAAATTTTGTGCTAAATTTAATGTTGTTATTCAATTTAAATTTGTCATTATGCATTTTTATTTTATTTATGATGATATACTGTTGAACTTTGGAAAACTTGTTTGAATCTAAAATTGAAGATTTTTATAATAATGTTGTAATGAACCAATGTTCATCGGGGTGGAGTATGTTCCGTCTTTTTGGTAGATAGGTGGCGCTCTTGATGCGCGCCGATGAAAAATATATCACTTGACGCTTGAACATGAAGAATGACGCATGTCATATTTATTTGATGCTTGATTATGTTTTTCATGGCCGCTATAGGCGGAAGTAATATAATATAGTTTATCGTTAATAAATGTTATTTCTATGTTCTAAGAAATCTTGAAGTTTTGCTTTGAAATTCTAATGCTCTCCCAACCTTGACTCCTGAAACGAAACGATCTTTGAACTTATGACTCATGAAGAGAGACATCACACACATACACTTCCTTAGGTAAAACCATGGACTAGGAAATTGACAAGAATGATGTGAATGAGCTAGAGGATCATCAGAATGAGCTCAATGAGAAAGAATTACAACAACATCAGAAGCAGCAACGAAAGGCGGTTGTGGAAGAAATTTCTTCTTCAGAAAAGGAGGAATAGAGATAATATAATCCTAGTTTTCTGATCTGTGAAATTTGTGTAAAATTAGATAAATTGCAAAGTTTTCACATAGGAAATGGCCCTGATAAAGCAGTAAACTACAGCATCAATGACAACACCATGTCTCGTTTCAGTAAGATTTTAAAACGCAGGCAGCAAGAAATGACATTGGACAAATTTCGATGGAAGCAGAGTCCATTGGGTCTTAAGCACAATGGAGCGGCGCTTAGAGAATGATTTTTATTTATTTATTTATTTATTTTTTAATGGGAGAGACTTTTGTATCCAAACAATTTTCATCATGTTTTTCCATTTATGATGTCTACTTTTCTTCGTACAGGTACAATAAAAATAAAATAAGTTTTTGTCTAATTTATCTGCGTTTATATTGTATTTATATTCTTTTGCTTTAGATTTAATGATTTCCTTTCATTTCGGGTTACGATCGTGTTTACGAAGTACTGCTGAAAGGTTAACCAATCGTATATGGCTCGGAAACGAATTAATGCATTTTACATTTATTCCAACTGGAAAAAATGTTTTGGTTTATGAACATTTTGGTTTACAAACGGCCTTTGGAAACAAATTAAATACGTAAACCGACGTTTCACTGCAGTAATCTATCGGAACAAATGCCTGATGCCTAAAGGGTGCCCGCTGCAATGTCTGAGAAATATTGGGAGAGTGTGAGCGTAACGAAAGCAGAAAGCTGCAAATTCTTTTCATTACTGAAAATGCAAAACAGGAATTCTCAACCGGTCAGGAAGTCTCTTTCTTCTCTCCGCCCCCCAACGGTAGTGAATTTCATGGTCTCGGATTATTAGAACTTAAACTGATGGATTCAAACTGTAAAAAAACTCATAGATTAACAGCAAGACAGGTTAAATTACTTGACTCATTAAAGCAAAGTAACTAGTGGGCTGTCTGCCTATAGGAAGAGAAGACTTCGTGCAGGCCTTTTTAGAGAATATTGTTCGTAAAGCTACATTGCAACCAGTCCATTTATCAGGTCTCTTTATCAGATCCATTTATCAGGTCTGTTGAATCTGCAGTGTTCGTTGACCTCACCACTCTGGCGTTGGTAAGCGAACAGATAAATCCACTCAGAAGGGCTTGGAAAAAAGTTAAATTTAGGTGTTGTGTAAGTTGAGCGAAATCAATAGAAATATTTCTTTAATTATTAAATTTGTAAAGCTTAGAAATAATTTATATATTATTAATAAATATATAAAAGTATATATTTATCAAATATAAAAAAGCCTTAAACTTATTTGGATATTTATGACATGCTAAACTAAAAATTTTCATTTTTACCTACTATTAAAATTGTACTGCATAGAAAAAATTAAAATATAGTTCCACCTTTTTCTGTCTTGTCTTGCTACATCCTCACTAACCTTGAGTAGTAAATAAGTTAGCAATGCTAGTTGCCGTTCTGTTGGACCTGTTTCGAATCCCGGATAAAGCTTGGATATTTGTAAGTGTACAGTGTCCGTACGGGAAAGGGACATTTAAAATACTGAGCGAAAGTTATGTAGACATGCACAGCGATAGATGAAGCGGGATGGGTGACTTTCGTATCAGTCCCTCAGGGTGTTCTCCATCAACAGTGAGACGGAGCTGTACAGTCAGTGCGATGAGAATTATACCTGTAATGCCACTGGTAAAATTTTGGTATCCCGCCCATTTTTTCCTATCCTATTCCGCTATATTCTCAAGCATGTAGACTCACCCACCATCGAAAAATTATTACATTGTTATCAAAATGTTTCAGGAAAAAGATAATCTGCCACCTGCTGAAAAGGAAGGAAAAGGAAGCAATAAAGGTTGAGAATTACTCTCGTAAGGAATACATTATGGAAAAACAGTAGTTTCACGTGATAGAATAAAAGTTTCCGAAATTTTGGAAGACTTTACAGCAGATCAAAAAGCGATGAAAGATTAATTACACATGTTAACGGCAAATTTTAGATTCTATTAAATAAAATGCTTCTTCAAATCTGAAAGACAGAATGGTTATATGAATGTCAGAAAAATACTAAAGCTTCAAAAACCGAAGAAATGTAAAAAAGAAGCTTTGTAGATTTGTTAAATTTCAGGGAATACTTCAACCGTATGCGTTAACGAAATATAATAAAATGAAGTAAAGCTATATAAAAAATTACTGAATGTTAGATATCAGAACAGTAAAATATTTATAATCGGTTGGTATTTCATGAAATAAATTTGGGATTTCATGTGGGAAATGCAAAAATTGTCCTCGAAGTCAACTGAGACAGTTTGCGTTCGGTTAAAAACTACTATTATCTTAAGCTATACTAGAGAAAAGTTAGTACTTTTTACTAAATAAATTTGAAAAAAATTAAATATATTTAAATTTATTAATTATAAACTACACTAGTACTTTGCATACTTACACAAACAGCAGGTACTTAATCCACGTGCACATGTCCCGATATTTGTTCCCTTACGACGTTCGCAATCATTGGCATCGCTTAAGCAGATACCTTCGTCCCCAGATATGCCTTTGCAAGGAGAATTTTGATATCGAATAATTGTTATGAGATCACCTGAAAAGAAAAGAAGAATATTCTGATATTGCTTTTACATAATACGTGATGCATCTTCAAAATTTTAAGATTCACAAATAAAATGTATTTGAAAACTTCAACACTGTTATTCCTTTTATACACATTCGATTTAATGCTGTATATCTCTCGGTAAGTTCACAGAACATCTGGATGCTTTTACAGATAGATGCTAACTATTGGAATGCTTTATCATCCTCTTAACATTTTCCTAACTTTTGGATTGCTGTCAAAATATCTTTCAATATATGATTGGATGTTAGAGAACCGTTTTGAAATCCTGTCAGAATGATATCTATCAATGTAAGATTTTATTTTATAGAGCAAAAAATAGTTCGAAATGCAAATTCTGGAAAATATAAAAATTATTAATATAGACTATTTTATTCTTCTCAATCATGAGCTTATCGCTTATTGCAATGTGCGAAAGCGACAGAAGCATCCATCTACTAATCGAATCGATATTCTAGCCTAATACCATGATGAATTCTTTTAAGATTTTAGATTTATTGCTTCTTGCCTTGATCTTTAAGCAAATATTTCTTTTGATTACTCTCTCTAGCGTCTAGAAGCGAAAGTTCACTTGCCGAGATAAATTTTTTCTTACCCATGGATCTCTTAATCCTTTTCCCCCCCCCCCAACTTTCGAATCCGTAAAGGTAAATGCTGATCGGTTGCATAAACAAAAGTATTCTATTTAATATATTTTCTATACGGAGACGATATTTTAAACACGCAAATTCGTGAAAAATCATTGTCACTAATTTATATTTGGCAACTTTACTGGTAATGAATTGAAATAAATTTGCAAAATAAACTTTAAGATTTTATTCTTCGCTAACAATTAGCCATTTCCTTCCCCATCATGTCCGCTCTTCATCGAATTTTTCCATCGCTCTTTTCAAAAATATGTAAATTAGAACTGGATATTTATTATTAGACTGGATGATGGGGAAATTTGATTAGTTGTTCACAGCAGGAGAGTTTTATAATATAAGAAAATTAGATTTTGCTCCATATGAGGCCTTATTGAATATATAATTCTAGGAAAATGTTTCTTACCGCTGTATGCTGCAATTTCATTAAGCACATTTAAACTCTATTGAAATTAGATATGCTTCAGAAAAATTGCGTTGAATTTAAACTCTATTGAAATTAGATGTGCGTAAGTTTTATTGCGCTTTTAGATAGCAAAGAAAATGCAAATATTCGAAATAAGCTTTATTATTGCAATGAAAGTAAATCTGAATGAAACGTTAAAATTAAAAGCGGCTATTTTATTCAGACTTCATAACGAATGTGAAATAAAAGCATGAGATAATAATATGCACAGAAAGGCAATGTTAAACGTACTGATTAGAAGAAAAAAATTACCTTTCATCTCCCATAAAAGTAGCACAATAGAATTCGTTCTGCGGTTTTAATTTACCAATGAGATATGTCTGGAACAACCATCGTGGTTATATCCGGACCGTAAGGAAATTAATGCTAGATGACGAGTGTCATTTCCTGAAAAGCTGTTTGGGTGTACGTTTTAATATGACACTTTTTTTTCATTTGAAACTTATATCCTTCCTTTTCGAAGGATAATATATTTTGGCTATCTGAAAATATTAAATGCTTTTATTGCGCATACTTTTAAATACTTTTAGGAATAAAAATCAGTAGTTGTCTACACAAGATTAAGCAACAACACTGTTGTTGTTGTTACTCATTTACAAATTTTAAGTTTCGATGATAGTACCTGAAAAGCTAATGATAAATTTTCATCATTTACCCAACATTTTACACCAATTACACATATCCCACTGCATTAATCATTAATACTAAATCCACATGTTATTTTTTTGCTAGTAGCTTTATTTCTGTCATTGATTTATTATTGCATTATGCATACTTCGTAATTTGTGCAAACTTGAATTACACTCGTCCATAAATTAAGGATAATGCAAAATCAGGCAAAGGAAGAGTTAGAACCAAAACAAATTTGACATATTTGTAAAACTTATTTATTAAACAAAAGGTAAAGAGCAAAAAAAGATGATGCTATATATGTTTGATATTATTAAAAAAATTAGCGATTTTTTCTTCCCTGGAGCAAATTACAAAAAAAAAAAAAAAAACCTATTTACAAAAAAACCAATATTACATGGTTGGTATGATTGTTAATACATTGTATGTCTCCCAGACGATGCAATACAGTCCGTACAACGCCTAGGCATGCTGAGTATCAAATTATCGATCTGATCTTGGGGGATATTACACACTCAAAAAGCAATGCACTCCGAAGTTCCGGTAGACATGTAGGAGGAGGTTGACGGGCTGCAACTCGTCGGCCAAGCATGTCCCACACGTGTCTCTACTGGATTCAAGTCCGGTGAGAATGCTGGCCAGTCCATACGGGTGATATCCTCCGATTGAAGGCATTCGCTTACGATGTTTGCACGGTGAGGACTGGGCGTTGTCATCCATAAACACAAATTGTGCGCCCATGGCGCCCCGAAACAAACGTACATGTTGTTCCAGAATGACGTCCCGATAGATTTGGCTTGTCATGGTTCCAATTTGAACATGCAAGGTCAGTTCTGGAACCCAGAATAATTCCACCCCAAACGAGCACTCCTGCACCACCGTAACGGTGTCGTTCAATGATGTTTTCTTGGTGGTAACGGGTACCTGGAGCTCTCCATATGAAAGTCCGGCGAGAATCAGACTGCAAGCTAAACCTGGACTCGTCGGAAAACATCACACAAGCCCACTGTTGCGGTGTCCACAATGCATGCTCTCTACTCCAGGCTAACCGCAGGCGACAGTGAGTTGCAGTAAGTGGAACGCATCTGACAGGTCTACGAGCATATAGACCAATCTGCCCTAAGCGTCTGTACACGGTCTGCCTTGAAATTGTCGTACCAGTGGCTGAAGAGAGCTGACGAGACAGGTCTGAGGCTGTGCTCCGCCTGTTTCTTTTGGCAGTAACTGCCAAATACCGGTCCTCATTCGGCGTTGTAACTCTGGGGCGACCTGTGCTGTAACGTCTATTCACATTACCATCAGGCCCACCAGCGGCCGAGCGGTAAAGACGCTGAACACTGGTAGTTCGGTCTGAGGTTCGAATCCCGCGAACGGGCTGGCTGCATGGGCGTTTTCGTGGTGTTCCCCATGTGTAACGTGTATACGAGCCAGTTTCCCTTAGAAAGTCCTCCACGAAAGGCATCCCTCCCTTTAGGCAGATAGCCCTCGTGTGCTTTGCCATAATTAAATACACCACTACACCACCACATTACCATCATCTTGGAATCGTTGCCAAAGCCTGGAGATGACACTCTGCGCAATTACAAGTTCGTCTGATACTTCCAGTTGGATACGCCCACATTCCAGACGGCCGATAATTCTACCAAGTAAAAAATCATCCAAATGCGTCCTTTGTGTCATAACTATTCGGTTATTGCACTGAAATGCTTATAAAGCACCTGCGAACAATTTTACTTCTTTGCCTGTACTCCTTATATATCACTCTCTTACACTCTCGTCATTGTGACGTACCATCGGTGTCATCTGGTTACTTCCTGAAATTCGCATATGATTCTTGAAGATGTATGTAGTGATTTTACAGAGGATATATTTATTTTAGAGTTCGATTTCTGCGTGACTCCGAATTATCCTTAATTTATGGACATGAGTGTAGATTCGTATAGAAGATTTAAAGCAAATAATTCCAGTAACAGTTATTTGAAATGTTGGTGTCTATTTTTCGCGATATTCGGATTTGTAAACCTTTACAGGATCGTTTTCAAACACTACTAATTAATTCGGCACAAAAGTCTTCCGAAGTTAGGTCGAAATAAAACTCATCGACGTTTTCTGGATCCCTTTGTTTAAACAGAATTTGATAAGTTCTGCAACTTGGAACCTAAACAAGTTATCAGACAGCAGATGAAGTAGAACAAGTAAAACTTGCAAAATCATTATGGAATGGTAGGGGGATATCGCTGTAATTAATTAAAATCACACAAAAACAATACAGTGACTCCATAGCTCAAATTGATTTACAGCAAAGTATTCAAATGTGCAAGAAGAGAAATATTGTATGAGATTCTTTCAGGAGAGTAGTAACTTCATTGCATACAAGAGAAACACGAGATCCTCCGTTTCGTTCTGTCACAGGAGGCTGATCATTAGCGTTTCGTGAATTTAGCTCCTCTGTAACTGAAGAGCCTCTTATTCGGGGGAAAAAAACTGATCAAAATGTTGTTTAGTTCAGTTTCAGATGTTATTTTTCAAATAGCTATTATAGATAGCTTGAAACGAAAGAATGTACAGATTCAAATATGAAGTTCTGATAACATTCTATTATATTTTGCAATAAATAACATATTATACACTATGCAATAATTATCTCGTGACTATTTCCAACAGTTTATTATACGCGCCCAAAGCCTCTGAGTATTTAAAAGACTTCTTTGTGTTACTTTCTAATTTAAATATTACGCTGTTTAGAGGAAGAAACTTCAGTACCTGTAAAATAATTGCTTTCAAAAATGAAACAAAATCCATGATATACTTAGGTTAATAACATTGTTTTAAGTTTGGGAAGTAAAAGATGTTGAAAATGAAGATTAATATTGATACCAACTTACCAAGATTCGCTGGCCTGTTTTGTGCTTCAACTGATTCTAGAATCAGAAAAGCCACCAGGGTGAAGACCACCCTAACAACGAGTTGCCTCCACATCCTATGAAGATGTCTGCTAGAAAAGAAAAATTAATGCTGCTAAAGTAAAATGCATTTCAGAAATTAAAAAGAACAAATATAAAAGCTCTCTAGTGGTAAAATATATTTATTCTAGAAATTTGATGAGATCATTTGCGTTGTGAGCTTTCTCTAACATTATGGTATTTGAATGTTATTTGCAAGCTATTCAACGTTTTATTAAAAGTCATGAAAAGTTTAAAACGTCTGCATGCTGATAAGTATATGCGGTGATTTTAAGAATTCTTCTTATTTCAGAACACCTGTCTCCGTCCCAATGACATAAAAGAATAATGTATGTTGTAAAGGATTGGAAAAGAGACTGTTAGACTGCGTTTCACTGTGTAAAATATTTTGTTTATTCTTTTTACTTCTAAAGCTAAATACCAGGATAATTTGAACGGAAATCTATTATAGAAAGAATCGACATAGCAGCACTTACGAATCAATATTATTACTACTTTTTTTAAAATTTTGTAAAACGGATCTAACAGAAACACATCTATAGTCTATTTACGCTTTCTAAAGCAGAAAACAGGAATAATCAACACCAGGATTCAAACTCCGGAATTCTCAATGCTGATGCGGACGTCCTTTCCGTCATACAGCAAAAGTACGCAGCAAGGACAGAAACATTTCTTGTACTTTCAAAATGGAATTTCTCATTTAGAGTTTCAAATAACTATTGTAGGCAAGATGTTAGGAAAACCCTCGCTATCTGATAAAGAAGGCCATAGATACAATGTGACTATAATTTGGAAGCACAAATACACTTGTTTTTAATAAAAGCCGATGCGTATAGTTGTTCAAGATTGCTTATTCTTTTAATGAGTATAGAATTTTTGCATTAGTTTAAAGCATTGCAAAAATTACACTATAAAAGAATAGCTTAACAGAGTGATTTTGTAATCTACCATTATGATAATTTAAGTTATCATTTTAACGTAATGATCCAGAATATGAAACAAATATGCATGAAAAATGTTCAAGCATTAACCATTTGTCAGAAGGTAATTAAAGCTCAGTAAAATTTCTTTATTCAGAGAAAATAGCGCTACTAATCCACGGACTGATATTAAAATTTATTCAGACTATAATATTCAAAGGATTAAAAGAAGAAATGCACTAAATAGATTTATAATATGCTAATCAGAAAAAAATGGCGTTGTCACACACGTAACAAGTAAAAGGGCCACTCAGAGAAAAGTAAATGAGAAAAGATAACAAATGAGGGGGAAAAAGCACTTTCTAGATCTGTTTTTAAAGCGCTAGAAAGAAAGTTTGCAAAACTTTGAAGAAATAGCTATAAAGTTGCAAAATGTTACCACAGGCCTTTTTTGGTCATAATTCCACATTAAAATGCCTGAACGCGTTCTCTGATTCTTTTTTTTACGAATGGCGAGCACTTGCCTATAACGGCATTGGCAGAAGCGGCGACCATTTTACTGTGGATGCACCTAATGGGCGGCCACCGTTACCTCCTATGAAGGGACAGACAATTTTGCATCCACGCCTTCTCCGGGATTCGAACCCGGACCCTTTGGTATTGCAGTCAGGCTCCACTAACCGCTATACCGTCTGGGCGACTGTTCTCTGATTGTTAAATCATAATAAGGTAGTAAATGGAGTGTGGCAGATGCCTCACTTACATTCGGCGCATAAACAGTATTTATAGATATACTCTTTGATGTTACACAAATGACCAAAAATCCTAAGATGAATGGAGCCTTTCTTGCTAAATCTAAAATTATGTATCTTACATTAGAAAAAGAGAATTTTCTTTCGTTATTGTGTATTCGTCATTGAATAAGAGAGTTGAATCAAGCTGTGAAGTACTTAAATGCTACATTCAAATTCAGGACACATTTCTTGGAATTTAGTTTACTTTTATTTTCAGAAAATTATTCACCAGCAGCAAATGCAAAGAAGTGATGCCGAAAAGAAACAATTATTATTCTAATGGCTTTTTCTAAATCAGAACAGTACATTGCCTTTCATGAAAGATAGTATTTGACAGAAATTAAAGATGCCTTCTGTGAAAAAGATGCTTCTTCTTTTCTGCAAAATGTTTTGAAGGATACTTTCTTTGTCTGCTTGTTGGTTTAGTTTTCTTTTATATTAACAATGCATTCAGCATTTAAAATTGCCGAATTTGGGCTTTATATCATATTGTTCCTCTAGTTCTATTCTAGTCTCTGGAAATCCTTTTTCGTTGCGGCTTGAAAATAAGATTTCATGTTTGTTCCACGGTGTCTTTTATGAAGATACAACTATTAATTGAAATAACTTGCTTTTACAACAACAAAAATATCATCTTAACACTAAAGCGCAAGATGCCTGGATGAGTTTATTTTAACAGTTAGTTTCAAGTCATGAGGTCAGCGCAGCAGTTTTCCTGACATCAGTCACCATGATATGGCTGTAATTTCTCATTGTATGGGACACCAGGGATACTTTGTTTACACCGAGCGAGTTTTGCCAGTGTGGCCACCTCGGAATCAGTGTCTGCCTATGTTTTTCATCCGATACTTTTAAAAACAACATAATTTACCAGATGATGAACATTTCTCCTGGAGTTTCTACATTTTGCTGTACAATTGAGTACACTTTGTAACGGTTGCTTGCAGTTCTTGGCCAAAACAAGGACAATCACACTGAAGCTCTTCTAAATGTTTGCAATTTGTTCGAAGAATATGAATTGAGAATGAACGCATTTGAAACTGCGAAGCTACTTCTTGCAGAAATAATTTTTTTTCTCAATTTCATAAAATGAAAATTTAATATTTCGTTATCAGAGTTATTTATGCTTCTGTACGTTTTCCATCGAATAGCACGATTTATGAAAAACAACTCTTTCCATCATTGTTGATTATTGTCCTCCCAACTGTTGATGCTAATCTTGAATAATTTAGTATCATTCAGACTGTCAGTTAGAAATACAGAAGACCTTGATTAGGAAAAATTTAAATGCAAGCACTCTGTCTTTAAATTTGTTGAAAATTTTAACGTGACTGATTACTTAAAATATTTGTTGGATTACTAACTGGTTTTCTAAAACTTAAAAATATTAGAAAAATGTCCGCAAGGGAGTTTAAATTTTAAAACAAATAAAATTTTATCTGAAAACTTCAAAAACAAAGTATATAAACCCAAGACATTAAAATTTAAATTTTACCAGGAAGGAGGAGCTACGTTACCCTTATCTTTACTTATTTAGACTTTCCTAAAGATAATATGAAAGCACTTTTTGAATCCGATAATCTTTTGTATCCTATTCTGCAGTTTATACAAGTTTTTTATATTAATGCCGATAATTTCATTTATATCTATCTATCATCTCTCAAGTAAAATGTTAAATTTTATTTTGGGGGCAGGATACCGAAAAGCTTGAGCCCTTTTGCTTATCTGCATAAAAATAAACATGCAGTAATTTTAATTCCGGCTTTTTAAATTAGTGTTCAAGACGAGAGTACTTTCACTAGTGTTCATAATTTATTTGTTTAAGCACAGAACAACAGTATTTTCACGTTTCATGAATCACGATTTTTCCCAGTTGTGGCACTATATAATTAAATAAATGTGTAACATTTCAGAAAGGACTTGCAGGGAGATCTTTGAAACATTATTCGGAGGGAGAGAAGAAAGATTTATCTTAGATTCATTACCATTATTACTGCCATAAACGAAATAAAATTTGAAAACTTTTTGAGAAAACTGAGGTTATTAACTCTTGTGGTAACGCAGGCAGAAAAGCCAGGAATCGTTGACCGAAAACATCAGATTTTTTTTTTTCCTTCAAGGCCAGGAATGCCTCATTGATTACGGAAGCTGAAGCTTAAGTCACGTGTGCCGAAGGGAATATTTTTTAACACTGGTTGTAACCGGTTAGAAGAAAAATTCTTCGTTTCATCGTCTAACTAGAAAGCAATTTTTCACGTTTCAAGAAGTTGCCAATATTAAAAGCCTAAATTAATGTTTTTAAGGAAGCTAGAGAAGAAAAATAATGGGTGTTTACTTCAAAGCATTCGGTAATAATTTTTAAGATGAAACTATTTTCTGAATGGCTATGTTTTAAAACTAGTGATATTTTATATTTGAGCCATTATAATAATCAGAAGACAAGTATTAGAAATGAATCAGTTGCTTGAAAATGAAAGCTACTTTCAGCAGAAATAACAGAACTTAACAATTTATTCCCAAGCTATTGTAATAATGCATTAAAATATCAATAGAATCTGTGAGAGCGATTTTTTTCTGTATTCCTTCGAGACTATAAAATTAATATTTATTATAAGTATAAAACTTTTGCAGGAATTAAGGTTTAGCGTTTTAAATAAAGATTTATGTTTTATGCAATTAAAAAAATATTTATATAAAATTATAGTGAAAAGAATATTTTTTTCAGTTACGATTTTTTTTTCAACAGTCTTCCCTTCACAATTCTTTTCAGCGTGACTGTTTTAATTGAAGAATAATTAATGACAACTAATAATTCTTAAACTCATTAATTTTTTCTAGCAAGTAAAAAGTTACTCTTTGATGCATCTCTAGTTAACATAAAATTTCATTTTTTTTTCATACAGATAACCGTATTTTTCAATTAAACGACATAATATTTTTTCGACACTTTCCCCGTCGGCAAAGCATTCTATTATCAGGTGTAATATTTTGCAAAAACTGAAAATTCTCTAATTGCAATTTTATAATTTATTATTACGATATTTAAATTTTAATTTCGTTTAATTGTTACATGTTTTTGATGAAATTAACACATACTTCATACACATATTTATCATCTAACAGAGGAAAAAATAAATTAACAACACTTAACAAACTAGAAAAAATAAAAAATACATTAATATCTTAGTTGCATTTGAAATTTTATTATATAATTTATATCTTACTTAACATTAACAGAAATTGAGTTAGACTTCTAGAAAGGATCACAATTTTTAAAACTGTACCCACTTTCGTATAAATGAGAGAAAAGATCAAAAA